GTTCTTTTTTTTTTTCGGCAAAATTGTTTGAGTAGGAACATTGTGTGGAATAAATAAATGCCCTATCAAATTTTAAATGTTTATGGTGAAGAGAAAAATGAGAGGTATAGCGGCATTTGAGAAGAGAGAGGAGAAAAAAGAGAGATTTGTAAAGGAGATTAATTTTAGATACATTAGTGGCACTTACACATGCTGCATAGCGTCATCAAACAACACAAGATTCATGACCGCGTTAACCTCATTGTAGTTTTCCAGGGCCTCTGTGAGCAGTTTGTTTAATGACTCCCAGCCTTGGACCGGCAAATACTTCGGCTCTCCAATCCCACTTGCAAAATGACAGAACATATTAGGCTTGGCATAGAGGGCTTCTTCGTCAAAGTCCTAAACCGCGAAGAAACAAATAACCTGTATTCACTCACTAAATACATAAGCCATAAACATGCGTATGAAGTGAAGTGAAAAGTCAAGTCTTTGATCCCACCCTGATTTATCTCAGTTTCTAAGACTTACTTCCAGAGGAAATTATAGTTTCGCACTTCTCGGCTCACAATACAAAATATAATTCGCATTTCCGATTTCATAATAATGCTTCCTACTTGCACATGAATTTTGGGTTTGTTTGAAACGACAATAGACCTTTCCGCATTCCTGCAAACAGAAGCACACACTCCAACTTAGTTGGAAAAATAAAGTGATTTGTAGGTACAGAAGGTCCATTTACTTCCATTCTCCCTTTTTTTATTCTGCTACACAGCCGTTTTTAGTGTTATCACGCAACGCCCGGGGAGGAGCGTTGCGTGACGACTCTAAAAGCGGCTGTGTAGCAGACTACCCTTTTTTCTGCACCATGTTAAAGTAACCTTCAAGTCAAGGTGAACGTTGCTGTTGAAATAAGTTACGCAGAGGAAAACACAGACCTCGAATACTTTCTTGGTGATGTCTGCCTGAATTCTGTCATAGTTCTCCATGTCTTTGTCATCCACCAGTTTGTCTCTGTAAACTCGGTCACACTCGTGCATCCATAATCTCACCAAGTCCATTGGTGTCTTGACGCATTCTGCCGTCGAGAACAAGATGCCCTGAAAAAAAAATACATCGCGACATTTATGAATGATTTTTTACGTAACGGTTTGCTATAGCAGGAATCATTTCCAAATGACAACACTACAGAACACACAAGTAACCAATCAGAAATGAACACGCGACCGAAGCCAAGAGCGGGAAAATGCAGCTGCCGTCAACTAGCACCAGCGTGGAAAATGGCTGGTTTCGTCTTGTGGAATAAAAAGGTAACTTTATTCTGATTGGTTTGTGAAGGAGATAGTTGACGGCTGCAACTCAATACCTGACAGGACAAACACGTGATAAATGCGTGAAGAGAACAAACCTGAAAGATGTTGGACAAGTCTCGCAAGTTGAAAACGTAGTGAAATTTCACAGCAGTGGGCAAGAAGGTTGAGGTGACCTGGATTGAAAAAAAAAAAAGATAAAACTCAGTCATAAAAAAAGCCTTAAAAAAACATCAGATAAATTTTTACGACAATTTAATCATTAATGGATACACACAGTGCCGATACATGAACAAATAAACGCAATAAACGAACACAAGAGCAGTGGCATCACTCCTCACGGTGAAGATGGCGCCAAGGCTACCACGCAGCAAACTGTTTAGAGGTCAAAAATGTCAAAAATATTATCGAGTGGGTACGGTAGAGCGATCAATACTGTAAGTAACTACAAGTAATCAACTGTGGGTAAATGGAAAACTTTGTTGAACCTATATAATAGGCGTAACAAGACTGCCTTGGGGCCACTTATTAAGTGCTTATAGACCTTTCGAAAAAGGGCAGTGGAACAGTAGTCAGCTATAGCATTCTAAAGTGCTACAACACAGCTACAATGGAATAGTAAGAGTTACCTTCTGGTTCATGGCTAGAGCTGCGTCAACAAGCTTCTCTGAGTTTTTCAGCACAGCCTGAGGAAAACTCATAGCGTTCATATGACCGTTTAAGATGCTCAAGTAGATCGTCTTTAGAGCGTCCAGTCCTGGAAAACTGATGGCAAACACTGCAAAGTGGCGCTAATAAAGAAAAAAAGATATATATAAATATTTGCGCCCTTGTAACACAAGTTATGAAATTTAGAAGTTATCGCAAGAAGATACGCTCGAGCGGCAGGCAAAAGGAGTCGAGGCGGAGTGGAAATAAAAATTCTTCAGTAATAGTCACAGGCTCTCCTTTCTTCCCCGCTCTCTTGTACCCGTGTGGCTCGCTCAACTCGGAATGCTGTCTGCCCGCGGCCCAGCAAACCTGGAGCCTCCGCCGAATTCAAGCGCCGCCGTGACCGCGGGATGGATTGTTTCTAGGAAGTCCCGAGTTTAAATTCTCGAACACTCTTGTAAATATCAACTGTTTTGCCTCTTCTTAACCTCCTTACGTCTCATATAAATTAGTATTTGTTTCAGTCATTCGCTCGGCCTCACTAGCCTTCGTGCTATAAATACTGCCGAGGGTAAATAAAGAAACTATATCATGAAAGATATTATTCATCGCGGTTTGTACATGATAGGCTATTTTATAATTTGGCTCACGATTCATTTCGACTGTGGGTGACAGCTCAACGCTGGTCTTCTTCTTGTCTTCTTTTTCCCTCCAAATCTTACAGCGATCAGGAATTCGATAACGAATTTCCCTCGTTATTTATGTGATGAATAAGACTTTAGTGTAAAACCGGAGACCATCTGATACTGACCTGTAAACGGGGGTTGATGGTGAAGCTGCCAGCCGTGGGATTCATGCAGGCAACATATTGGCAGTTATGGACCTCCTTGAGGCTAAGCTTAGCTCTGTCGTACCAGTGATTATAATCCAAGTGTTGCCTGATCAATGTGTGAGGCTGTACTGTGCCGTACGTGTCAACCTAAATTAAAACAAAGCAAAGATTCATTTTCACTTTCAATCTTTGGGTGTGACCACATACAGTCGAACCCGCTCCATATTCGACAAGCTGTCGTAAGAGACCATCATTCCAAAACACAGAACTTTTCACAGACAAAGCACCGTAGTTAGAACCTCTCGTTAATGACTAACTCTCCTAATTGACTAAGAGAGGTTTTGGAGGTGGTGTTACGTTTTTCCATTAATTTAAGCTTTCTGTAAGGGATACATAGTGTGATCTTTATAAATGGGCAACGCGGCGCTCCGTGACCTAAACCAAAAAACTAATTTTGTTCATCTTTAACGACATTTTATCTTCGCGAAAGTACTAAGCTACTCAGTAGCGCTCATGTGTCTAGACTAATGAAAGCAATCTCTTCTGTTTCTTCAGAGTGACTAGGGGTGGAACGCGCGCGAGGGACGCAAGAAGCGAGGGCGCCTATCCCGTCTCGTGCTTTCAGTCACGCGTGGCCCGAGAGAATGCTCGTCAACTATCGCGTGTTCCTTCTATGCCAGAGACTACCTCTGGTCCGTCTTTTGACAGCGACTACTTCCCCAAGGCGCCTACCAAAACTTGGCATTTGGGGGCTCCTGCATTGCTTACCATGGGCATGTTCATATCGTCGATAAAATAGATCAGCTTTTTCGTTCCAGGTGGGCCATAGTTGCGACCAGCCTTCTTCTCCAGTGGTTTGTCTAAGACAGCCTGCAGCATAGCGGATGTTGTGTAGTAATTGAAAGGTACATTGGTGACCATGAAGTTATCAGGATCCAAGGCCGCGAATTTGTCGCCAACCAAAACCGTCTTACCCGTACCTGCGCTGCCTACGAGCATGATTGGTCTGCGGTTTACCATCAAAAGATCCATAAAGTATCGCACTCGAATGGTTTCTTGAGTATGTACGAGTACCGCCTGGAAACAACAAAGCACAACAAGTTTGATGCAGTTTGTTTAATGACTCCCAGCCTTGGACCGGCAAATACTTCGGCTCTCCAATCCCACTTGCAAAATGACAGAACATATTAGGCTTGGCATAGAGGGCTTCTTCGTCAAAGTCCTAAACCGCGAAGAAACAAATAACCTGTATTCACTCACTAAATACATAAGCCATAAACATGCGTATGAAGTGAAGTGAAAAGTCAAGTCTTTGATCCCACCCTGATTTATCTCAGTTTCTAAGACTTACTTCCAGAGGAAATTATAGTTTCGCACTTCTCGGCTCACAATACAAAATATAATTCGCATTTCCGATTTCATAATAATGCTTCCTACTTGCACATGAATTTTGGGTTTGTTTGAAACGACAATAGACCTTTCCGCATTCCTGCAAACAGAAGCACACACTCCAACTTAGTTGGAAAAATAAAGTGATTTGTAGGTACAGAAGGTCCATTTACTTCCATTCTCCCTTTTTTTATTCTGCTACACAGCCGTTTTTAGTGTTATCACGCAACGCCCGGGGAGGAGCGTTGCGTGACGACTCTAAAAGCGGCTGTGTAGCAGACTACCCTTTTTTCTGCACCATGTTAAAGTAACCTTCAAGTCAAGGTGAACGTTGCTGTTGAAATAAGTTACGCAGAGGAAAACACAGACCTCGAATACTTTCTTGGTGATGTCTGCCTGAATTCTGTCATAGTTCTCCATGTCTTTGTCATCCACCAGTTTGTCTCTGTAAACTCGGTCACACTCGTGCATCCATAATCTCACCAAGTCCATTGGTGTCTTGACGCATTCTGCCGTCGAGAACAAGATGCCCTGAAAAAAAAATACATCGCGACATTTATGAATGATTTTTTACGTAACGGTTTGCTATAGCAGGAATCATTTCCAAATGACAACACTACAGAACACACAAGTAACCAATCAGAAATGAACACGCGACCGAAGCCAAGAGCGGGAAAATGCAGCTGCCGTCAACTAGCACCAGCGTGGAAAATGGCTGGTTTCGTCTTGTGGAATAAAAAGGTAACTTTATTCTGATTGGTTTGTGAAGGAGATAGTTGACGGCTGCAACTCAATACCTGACAGGACAAACACGTGATAAATGCGTGAAGAGAACAAACCTGAAAGATGTTGGACAAGTCTCGCAAGTTGAAAACGTAGTGAAATTTCACAGCAGTGGGCAAGAAGGTTGAGGTGACCTGGATTGAAAAAAAAAAAAGATAAAACTCAGTCATAAAAAAAGCCTTAAAAAAACATCAGATAAATTTTTACGACAATTTAATCATTAATGGATACACACAGTGCCGATACATGAACAAATAAACGCAATAAACGAACACAAGAGCAGTGGCATCACTCCTCACGGTGAAGATGGCGCCAAGGCTACCACGCAGCAAACTGTTTAGAGGTCAAAAATGTCAAAAATATTATCGAGTGGGTACGGTAGAGCGATCAATACTGTAAGTAACTACAAGTAATCAACTGTGGGTAAATGGAAAACTTTGTTGAACCTATATAATAGGCGTAACAAGACTGCCTTGGGGCCACTTATTAAGTGCTTATAGACCTTTCGAAAAAGGGCAGTGGAACAGTAGTCAGCTATAGCATTCTAAAGTGCTACAACACAGCTACAATGGAATAGTAAGAGTTACCTTCTGGTTCATGGCTAGAGCTGCGTCAACAAGCTTCTCTGAGTTTTTCAGCACAGCCTGAGGAAAACTCATAGCGTTCATATGACCGTTTAAGATGCTCAAGTAGATCGTCTTTAGAGCGTCCAGTAAAGGTCCTTTATGTTCTCTTCTACCAGATCAATGCCTAAATATTTTAGCAGGAAGTTAACGCTACCAACGATGACACAAACCTGATCCTGGAACATGGCTCCACCGAAGGCCCAGACTGCTGCAAACACGAAGTACAACTCGTACAGTTCCTTGTTACAGTCTGGTGGTGTATTGGTGGGATTCAGTAGGCACTCTAGCAGGTAACACAAGGTTGTAACCATGGTGATATCCGGGACAGGCGTGATCTTTTTGAAGCGTACGCGTAGGGTGTCTAGACAGATGGGCACGTACTTGTCAAACAGGATTTGCAAGTTAGCTTTCTCCGATTGAACTTCACGCGTGTCAATCCAGCTTGATACATACCTGTAAAAAAGAAAATATCACATTTCGTTAGCAAGTACTGAAACTTATGAATTAAAATAACTAAAACAACTTTATTCCACGAAACTTTTTACAGTCTCCGCAGACTGGGAAACCGTTGGTTCTCGAATCTCTCCGATCGAAGTGGAATTCTGAACTGCTGATTTGTTTATGCAATTGACTACTCAAAGTCCCCTATTTTTCCATAAGATCTTCGGGATCACGTGACGGGCGGCCATCTTGGTTACATATGTACCGATTCTAGCCTAGGGAAGAGGTTTACGGTCATCTCGCCACGAACGAAATCGCCACCACATAATAACTCTGCAAAAATTGACACTGTTTACTTACCTGGGATTGTTACTTCTTCCTCAAGCCCAAATATAAGTTTATTGATTTTAATTTACACCTTGCGTCGAACTTCTCGTCTTTAGTTGTGCTTTTTTGTGAATAATTGCGACTTTTTAAATTTCCTTAATACACATTACGGCTTATTTGCATCGCTCGAGAAGTATGGAATTTGGTTAATATTGTCACTTGAACCTTACCTCCTTAAATTTTATTTCAAATTTAAAGTGAAAGAATTTTTTTAGAGACTTGTCCTTTTGATCGATAAGTATTGAGATATATATTTCTTGGTGGCGAGGTGACCGGATTCCGGGTAAGAGTATCAGATCTACCTAGGGGCTAGGGGGCGGAACGTGGTTTCGGAGGAGGCTCACCTCTCTTCCCCTACCGCTATAAACCCCGCAGACTTTCGAAAAAGCTCGTGAGGTCGACTTGTAGCAAGTCTAAAAGCCCCGACGACCCACGGTAAGCTCTCGATCTCCGCCATCTTACGGGAAAATACGGGACTGGGAACAGTCTACTTTTGCAATGGTGTTACACTGTAATGACTCATTCCTTGCATCAGTAGGCACTGAGAGTAATTCAAGACTGCGTAAATGATGGGTCAAGTCTTGTTGTCCAAACGATGCTCGTAACTTAGCATTGATGTTATCACCTAGGAGATCAAGAGCTGGTACTTACGGATTCCAACCTACGTCCGCGTAGTTAAGAAAGAGAATTCCTGCTCGGGATACAGTAGCAGGTGTAGCTGTCTTCAGATGACCGATTTCAAACAACAGTCTCATTGATGGCGTCAGAGGTACACGTTCATTACTGGCTAGAGTAAGAACCTACAGGGAACAAAGCAGATTGTTTTTTTATAATACCAGATAAGGAAGCTATGCCAGTTCGTCTGCTTTACTATGACTTGTAATCGACCATACAACTAAAACTGTGAAGTTTTCTGTTCAAACAATACAGGCCTCAGTTGTTCAAAAGGTGAATAATACTATCCATTGGGTAAATCTCTATCCAGTGTATAACGCATTTGGTTTCCTAAGACTTATTCACTGCACCGTGATTTAACCGACAGATGATTTTTTTTTTCAGTCCATTGTGAAAATGTAGATTAATTTATTCGTCAGTATTGTGATTTTTTTCCCTTCATTTCATTGTCAACATGTTTTAAAGCTTTGCATTTACTATTTGTAATACTCATGTAATTTTCCTACCTCGTTCCCAGGGTCCTTTCCTACTCGGCCTGGCCGAAAAAGGAGAGGACCCTGACAGCTAGGTTGGTAATTTTCATTAAAATCAAATCTAAAAAAAAAACTATCCCACGTTTGAACCACCGAGGCCTGAACTATGTTATCTACTGGAAAAGTTAAAAGCTGTTTACTGAACCCCAACCCAACAGGAAGAAAAACTGTTTGTACCCCATCAAACAAAAAAACACCCAAAACCTTGAAGAGAACAAGAATCTGCCGTGAGTGCAACTTTCTTTCCGTCTCACGTTCTTCGTGCTTTTTCCACGATACAAACCGCTTTCATAGGCGCCAAAGTTTAACTTCCCCGCACACCTTTGTATTGCCTACCCGTTATATTCGGAATATCAACCTAGAAAATGGCCTGCTCTCCGTCAGTCTCTCCGAAGTATGGTGGATGAATTACCCGCATGGTGATCGGGTTGGGGAAGTCTATATATAAGGTCGAATTCTGTCGGGGACTTAAGGTATTTTTCTTTGCCCTTCGCTCTCCTTTATTATATCTTTCCCTTCCAGAACTAGTTCGGTTTTCATCTCTGAATAACTATGGAAATTGAGAGTGCAGTCTCGTTACCTTGTTGTCGTCCATGACGGTGTTCAAAGATTCAATCCACATTGGATCAATATCACCGTCAAGTACAATCCATTTAGGACTGTCGTTATTGATCGAAGCCAGATCACGCATGATAGTGGAGAATAAACCTGCAAAGACAAAAAAAAAAACGAATCAGCCACCATTACAGCCTTCCATGCAGACGTTCTTCATTCTCCAAGGAACGCAAGACGAAGCCCTAAAAACGTCTGTATGGGAGGCTGCTTGCATTACAATCTCTTTACAAATTAGGTGAAAATACTGTGTTTGTTAAAAGCGGTTCCCGCAGAGTTACGTTTCACGATGCAACTTAAAGGAAGTCATAGAATTAAACTCTGTTTTGTGAGGCCGAACAGGATTCTCTGCTTCGTTTTCGACTACCAATCGATCTTTTGGCACACTGTTGACCATAGAGTTCGACATGTGTAGGGGCACCTCAAAACAAGAACACAGGCGCGCGGCCAACCCTGCTATCATAATATGACAAAAAAAATTTTTTTTCAGAACACAGTAGCCTCACACTTCTACGCTTTAAACAGCAGCTAAATTGTTCTTTTAAAGAAACTGGGATAACAACATCAGAATATATTTCTTTCTCTGTGCTAACATGGATATGTATCTCACCATCCTTCCATTCTCTGGTTGCAGGGTTAATAAATCCAAACAGTTCATCTGCTGTCACGGCTTTGGGATTGATATCATGGAGCAGTGGTTTTCTCTTCTGATTCTGATAAGTTTTATTGAGGGTTTTTATCACCTGTGTTTTACCAGTTCCCGCCGGACCAAGAACGAACACAGAATGTCTGACAGCTAACAACTCCTCAAGCTGTACCACTTTCAGGATAAAGCTGTCTTCTGTTTGAAGTTTGAGATCCTGAAGGAAAACAAGTTTATACCATAAATTTAATGTGCCTTTAAAGTTAACCTCGAACCAATGCTGGTCAACAGTTTTCAAAACTATGCTTGGGGAGGCCCCGATACCCTAAGCAGGGGCACCTCGTGGCTCGTATACGTAGTCGCTTGCTTGCCGTTCTTCAGCTTGTTGCTTGTTTGCCGATTTGGTGCTGTTTCTCTCAACCCTCCCTCCCTCTTTAAGTCAGGGCAGGGTAAGTATTGGTCGGTAAGTATTCCACTGAACAGTTCAGTGAGGGTGCCTGGTGAAGGTCGCTTGCGGGGTTGCCAGGCATACCTCCTTCCTCAAGCTAGAGTATTGCCCGGCTCCACCAACGTTGTAGGCATTAACACCAAAGCTCGTCTTTTAGTGATGACTTTAATTATTATTTTTAATAACTATTCTAGATCACCATAACTTTTTCCGATTCCAAATCCGATTCTGCGTCGGACGTTTTCGTGGCTAGTTTTAAAACTACGACAAATTAAAGCCTTACCAGGGCGGATTTCTTAACCAGAGCTTCAAAATCCATGTCACGCTTTCTTGGCACATCAAGAGCAGGGAAGAGATCACCAATCAGACCCATGAAGACAGGAACATCATCCGTGACAATCTTAGGAATGTTAAAGTCACGCAATGCTCGCATAAGCACTTGATCTTCAGGGCGTTCACGGTCACTTCGCTTCAGAGAACCGGCCACGACCAACACTGACTTAATAGCACGCAGACCCCAATCGTAATGGTCCTAAAGATAAGAGAAAACAAAGAAATTTACCACGAGATATTTAAACGTTTCTCTACTTTCTGCTTTGGGTCCTTTCTTGGAAATGGCACGTTTTGTTCTCCAACACAGTCTAAGTGATTTAGCTCGTTATGCAATACTTTTTCATAGTGTAGATCTCGCGCTGACGTACGATCACCAACGTGCAAAGGGATCCTTCAGTAGTGACAATCACAGTGGACCCATGGCGCCACATCACTTGCATCTGTCATAACCTTGCCTGTTTGTGAGCCCCTCTTTAAAATGCTAGAGCTTATCTACCATTAGAAATTCCCTACATGTCAATAATACTCTTCTTTATAAGGGTTGCACTATGACTTAAACAGCACCTACGTGAGGACCTAGCATACACATAGCTCTGACCTGTTTAGAAAGAAGCTCTTTACACAGTGAGTACAACGTAATAAACTTTCTAGCCAGCGCTCGAGCATCCAAGAAACCTTCAGCAACCAACATGATTTCACAGATCAGCTCGAAGTCAGGAACCACCATAGCACAAGGTCTGAAATGTATAATAAAGCATAGCCTTCACTAAACCAACACCAGACATGCCAAGTTTATACTGCTCACAAAAAACATAAATTATTTCTCACGGGTTATTACTCGCAGGAAAAGCTGAGAAAACTTGTTCTATACGACTTGTTTTACTCTTTAATATTTTCGATGGCCATCTTGAGATGTCGAAAGTAAAGAGTTTGTATATGTTGAGAGTATATATATTATACCCAATACTCAGGGTCTTTTAATGACTAAGGTGAAAG